CTACTTCACGAGCTTGTCGACCGAGCTCTGGCTGCGCTCGAACTTCCTCGTCCACCTGATGAAGTCCTCAAGCGTGATCCCCTCCTGCGGGCACAGCTCCTCGAACTCCTCCTTCGAAAGGCTTTCCACGAGCATCTCGCATGGGCCCTTCACGCACTTGGCCTCTGCGACGCCCTCCTCGACCATCGCTCCTGGGAGCGCCTCGAGCTTCGGGAAGGGCGGGATGTCCTCCAGCTTGTCCACACCACCTGCCTCCGACGGGTTGGCGTGCAGCACCCTCATCACGACGTCCTCGCGAAGGCGCCAGGCTGCAACCCTCGGCTCGCGGGCGGCGGCAACCTTGTAGAGCGCGTCCAGGTTGAGCTGCTTGACCTTCTGCAACTTCTCCAGGTACAGTTCGCTGTCCCCGAGCTGCGCATGGCTCGGAGACGGCTCGATCTGCTTCACCTTGTCCCTATTTTTATATTCCAGCCCCGCTGGCTTCAAGGACGGCTCGAACTTCTCCAGGTACTCTCCGCCTATTACGAACTGCGCGGCGGTCGGGGACGGCTCGATCTTCTCCTTGTCGCTATCCTCGAACTCCATGTCACATGGCTTCAAGAACGGCTCGATCTGCTCGTCGTGGCTCATGGAGCTGTCGCAATCGCTCGCCAAGTCGAACCACTTGGTGACGTGACTGCCGACGTACTTCAGTTCACTACGTGCGGAGGTGACGACGAACGAGAGCGCCTCCTCCAGCGGTGCTCCCGCTCGTGCTTCTTGTCCCCGCCTTTCTTCTGCTTCTTCTCTGTTTTCCCCTCTTTCTCCTTCTTCTCCTTGTGGTTCTGCTGCTTCTCCCCGCTCTCGCAGGTCGGGCCCGCGCCCAGCCAACCCTCCGGCATGACGATCGGCTTCGGGCGGATGGAGTCCACGTTGTCCATTGGCGACCTGGAAGCCTTTCCCGAGGACCTCGTCGGCGGTGGGGACGCGATGCGCCGCGTCCCAGGCGGTGGCGACGGAGGCGCCGCATTGTTGGTCACCGCAGGCTGCGGGGAACCGTCCTCCAAGGCCAGCTGCTCCCCGTAGCGCGGGGCCCTTGACGGGCGCGGCATCACAACCTGCTGCGGCATCGCCTTCGGGGGCACGGAAGCTCGTATTGCAGCGTCGACCGCCGCTGCCACGACCTCCGCGACGTTCACCTCCACCAAGTTCAGCGCCGCTGCATTCGATGGAGGCGTCGATGGGGTGGGCCGCTGCGCCAGGGCAGGCGCTGACGCCAATCCCCGCGACGCTATGACATGAAGAAGGTTAGGTAGCCAGACTCGGGACAGCTGCGCCCCAGCCAGTAATGCGCTGTCCTCTACACCCGCTTGGGCGGGAGGCTAGGAGGAAGAGGAGGAAGAGGAGGAAGAGGAGGAAGAGGAGGAGGAGGAGGAGGGGGAGAAGGGAGAGGAGGAGGGGGGGGAGGAGGAGAAGGAGGAGGAGGTGGAGAGGAAAAAGAGGAGAAGGAGGCTACTACTACTACTACTACTACTACTACTACTACTACTACTACTACTACTACTACTACTACTACTACTACTACTACTACTACTACTACTACTGCTACTACTACTACTACTACTACTAATAATAATAATAATAATAATACTGATAATAATAATAGTAATACTAATAATAATACTAATAACAATAGTAATGCTGATGATAATAGTAATAACAATAATACTGCGACGACTAATAATCATAGTATTAATACTAATAATAAGGTTATTAAAACTAATAACAAAGGTGAGAATACTACTGATAATAATAATGATAATCATAACGATGATGACGATGCTGCTGATGATGATAATACTGATGATGATGCTGATACTAAGAATAGCAACACCAACACGAATGATGATGCTGATAATGATGATGATGACGATACTGAAGATGATGCTGATGATAATTATGATGATGATGGTGGTGGTGATGATGATGGTGAGGATGAGGATGATGGTGATGATGAGGATGAGGAGGAGGAGGAGGAGGATGATGGTGGTGATGGTGATGGTGGTGATGATGATGCTGATGCTGATGCTGATGATGATGAGGACGATGATGATGCTGCTGATGATGATGATGATGATTATGATACTGATGATGATGATGATGATGATGATGATGATGATGATGATGATGCTGATGATGCTGATGCTGATGCTGATGCTGATGCTGATGCTGATGCTGATGC